GTGTTTCTCACAGCAATGATCTGAACGAAATTCATCTTCACATGCATATATATCACCCATGGCCAGCACCCCCACACATACATATCTTATTCAACAAAATTACAAGCAGTTCCCTGATAAAGTTGCATATTACACCAACAGGTTCTGCAACTTCCATGCAGCTCATTATCAGAACATCAAACTTCTATTGAGCAGGAATGAATGAATGGATCAATGGGTAGATGGTAGGAGTACCATACTGACTGTGTGTATTGTTAGGAAACCGCCGGCCCATGAAGGCCCGGCTCGGTTACCCACTAATTAGGCCCATCACTAAATATGGAAGGTGGAAGAGGGAATGGCTATAAATAGAGGAGTAGAGAGGAGGATTGTACACTTGAGAATGCAATGGATGAATGAGAAAGGATGCCACACCCTCATATCTTGTGTCTCCACTTTTGTAGAATTACGCAATCCCTCTTGGACTATCTCGGTACATTTAGTCTCCCTGATGGTTACAGCCCACCTTAACTGAATTTTACATCAGCAATGATTGTGTGCAAGGCCCTCTTTCCTCCACCAGATGATGCTTTATGACCACAAAATCCATGTATATCTTGATGAACAGAAAAGAAAATCATTCCTTCCATTATCCAACATCGTTTTTTATTGAGTCCATCCTTTTCCATTTAAACGCTGAACAGAACAGCTTGTTACTCTGTCATCAGGATTGGTTCAGGAATCAGGAGAGATATTATGACAAATACCCTAGCTTTTCCCCTTGTTGTCCCGTCATATTGTTGAATTAACTGTAGTTTTGATGGGATGCTAAAAAGTGCCCCTTTTGGATACTTCAACCTTCCTAATATTCCATGTAAGCTGTTTTCCTAATTTTTCGCATTGTAATCTGCTCTACTAGCAATGGCTTATGTGCTACATCTCCTGTACAGGATTCAGAACTCGAGTTCTTGCCACAAAATGGTTACTGTACACACAAATCTGGCTAAAATTGTAAATGGAAAATTTCAAATGCCAACTGCAATTAACAGCAGATTGAGTTGCAATTAACTCTCCTATGCTTTAGAGTTCACCCCCAAATCATCAACCCTCTTATATGGACTCTGAAATCAGAATCGAGTTTTGTGTTCAGTTATTGCAGTTCAGTGCTCTAGTTTCATCTCAACTGTTCCGAGTAATTAACAACTGGACTAGAAATTATTCTTCCCCTGTACTGAAACTCACTCACTGACTCATCGAAGCGCTCATACACTCTTTGATGGGCCATACACTTTGGGCCTCGTTTTGCTCCTGCCCTGTGCAGCTGTGCTGACGGGCCGCATGTCCCCGTAGTATGGAAAAAGTACACCGAAGGTCCCTCAACTTGTCATCGAGTTACAAAATTGTCCCCCACGTCCCTTAACTAATCAAAACCGGTCACAATAGGTCCTTTGGTGTTTTTGACTCCGGTTTTATCCTATGTGGCAACTGACTCAGCATGGGACCCACGTGGGTCCCACATGTCAGCATCTTATTCCTTCCTCTCTCTACTGCCCTTTCCAATCCCCCTTCCACGGGCGACGGGCGTGCGCGGGACGGAGAGGCGGGGCGCGGGCGGCTGGGCACGGCGTGGCCGGCGGCCGACCGGAAAGAACTGAGCGGCGGCGGCGGGGGAGGAGCTAGGCGCGAGGGCGGTCGCGGTGGAGCCGGTGCCATCCTCGCCTCGCCTCCCGCACGCGCGCGTGTGCGTGCGCCTCGCCACACCCCCGCCGCCTACCGCGCGCTCGCAGCCGCCACTGCCGAGCAAGGCGAAGGCGCCATGGCGGCGCTCACGCAGGCACTCCCGTCCGTGGCACCCGTGCCGCCGCCGTCGTGATCTCTCTCCTCATCGTCATCTAGTTCCAAGGAAGGATTTGGTCTGTGTCTGTACATGACTTTTTTTTTGTTTTGCTCGGGCTAGCTTGGCCATTGTTAGTGAATTGATGGTGAAAATAAAAAAGAGTTTATTGGGTAGGTCTGGTGTTGCCGCCAACGCCGTCCCGCGACCAGGCAGCGGCAGCAATCGGAGACGACCACGCTGCGGCGACAAAACAGAGGGGAACACGCAGCGGGGAACGGAGGGGAACATGTCGATCTGGCCGATGTCAAGGTTGGTGGGTACCAGCGTGGGGTTCACCCGCTCGACGGCCTGGTACTGCATCAGGCTCTGCAGCTTGGTGGTGGAGACAATCCAGAAGGTGTCGCCGGCGTTGATCTGGTACTGCATAGGCGCGTATGCATTGGGCGAGTGGGAGGGGCACCCACACTGGAGCGGCACAAGCAGCGGCTGCCCCGCCGCTCGCGCGCAACCCCTCCCCCCACCGACCGCGTGACGCCCCTCCCCCGTCGCCGCTTCGTGGGTCTCGTCCCCTCCCTCCCCCACGCACCCGTCCGTCTCGCGCGACGCCATCACCGCTGACGCCCTCCTCCTCTCCCGCCTCGCAGAACGCAGAGCAGAGAAGTGAGAGAGAGAGAGAGAGATGAGGAAGGGAGAGAAGAGGGGAAAAGAGAGAGAAGGCTGACGTGGCCACACTGACATGTGGGATCCACGCGGGTCCTACGCTAACTCAGCCGCCATGTCGGACAAAACCAGGGTCAAAACCACCGAAGGATGTAAAGTGAACGGTTTTGTTAGTTGAGGGATGCCCGCTATTTGGTTTTGTGGTTGGAGGATGATTTTGTATCTCGATGACAAATTGAGGGACCTTTGGTGTACTTTTTCCCCCATAGTATCGTCCAGGCCCACAAATTAAATGGAATCCCTTGCTGGACCATATAACATGGGCCTACGTCGCTTCCGGCGTACGCCCATTAATCGGCCCGACCGCAAGAGCGATAGTCTCCTGGATGAGAGAATCCGCCGCCATGGCAGCCGCTCGCCGGAGCTCCGCCGACTGGCCACGGAGCTCCTCTCCGGCGAAGATTTGCATCACGTAGGTTCTTCGAGTCTTCCCTTTCCATAATGTGCTTTGGCTCTTTCATCTTCTTCTCTCTGTCTCACAGATCAGACAAGTTGCGCATGATACCAAATTAGAGATGCTGTACTGCTGAGTAAACTTCAGATACTATTGTGTTACCAAAAATTATCCCGGGAAAGCAACACCTGAATTCTTTTGATATCAACACATATCTGTTTGGGACAATGTTAGATCAGTGCTCCTGTTGATGTCACAATCCAATTGGATGCTTTCTAGGAGTAAAATGCTTTCTAGGAGTAAATGTTCTGTGCAATATTGAGTTCAACACTTCAATCAAACCAGATGGTTTCAGATCAGAGGTATTCTAAGGCATAGTTATCAACAACACAAACTTGCAGAAGGACTATCAAACTGGAGGAAATAAATTTTGGTCAAATAGAAAGAAGTCATGAAAACAAGTACTCATCTAAGCAATTACTCCAGTAATTATGTATAATATTCTATGAGAAATAGTTACAATGGCACAGACTCCAAGAGTTTTTGAAGACTTCGTGATATGTTCATCAGCCATAAATTCTAGAATTAGAATGCGACATGACTAGCAAGATCCAAATTCTCCAAGAATGCTCTGTCCTTGTCTCTATTGCCCGGCTCCTTCACACTGCAGATGCAAAGCAGAGTGAACTGATTGGGGTCTGGATGGTCGGGTGTGATCCCATTCTCTAGACTCTTTGAGATAACAAAGATTTGCTCTTTGTCACCTTTAATCTCCTTCTTGAGAAGTACTAGAAGCATCTCAGTTGCCTGCAGCTTAGTAGGGTTCAACGTGGAGAGGAAGATCTGCAAGAACCAGATAGGCATCAGCCATGAGTACCATGAAGTTTTGCCGTGAATGGTAAGCTGATTAGAATCTTATATAGTCATATATATTTACCTTTCTTAGTTTTCTATGTAATAAGTGATAATAGAAGAATTTTGTTGTTGCTGAGTGTGAGTGCAGTAACAACATCAGGTTCTTAGAAAGCCCTCATCCAACTTCACATATTCTACTCCGTATTATTTATAGACATTTAGAAGGGGCTAATCTCTAAAATTCTGTAAGACTTTGAGGTGACAAACTTCCATGAGCTGACCTAGAATTGAACCGATTACTTCTGCACTTCACTAATGTACCACAAGTGTTACAGTACAGTCAAGAGAAAACTCAACCTTCAGACTTTCGGTTCCAACTGTGTTTTTGCCTTTTTCTGTAAAAGGAACAACATCATTATGAACCATTGTGTCATACATACCACAAACGTACAGTATCTAGATTTTATCATGAGAGTGCCCGTAATATGTTGATTCTTGTTCATTCTTGAGCTAGAAAATACTAACAGCTTTGGATGGCAATCTCTGCATTGCTTGACTGAACTTTTGCAAGCTCCTGAATCACAGGAGGTAGCTGACAGATACTGTGTGTACCGCAACATGGTGCACCACATCGCCGGGGAGTTCACCACATTGCTTGACCTGGAAGGATGTCTTCTTCCAGGTCAGGATTATCGGTCAGAGACAAACCACCAGTTTCTTCATAGTTCAGAATTACATAGAAACTACTAAACTCTGAAAGGTGAAAGCTTTAAAAGCTTTAAACCACAGCGAGGGGTGAGGAAGGCATGACGCTTATCTTCGTGTGCTGCAACCCCAGCTGCGGTCACAGATGGAGGGAGTACGTGGCATGCAAAGGCAGTAGAGATTTGCGTTATGCCATGAATTGGTCTATGTTTACTTTGTCAACAAGAGTATGAGATGCCATGATCCTATGACAGAGGAAACAAAACTGAAGCATGTGTGGCCTTCCTTCTCTATCTGTTTTTTTTTCTAATTCAAGGGCGCAGCTAGTTGACTAGTTCCACATCATGGAATCTTGAAGCCAACAGTAAAGTAATCACATAGAAGTAAACTGTAGATCAATCACATGGAAATAAACTGTGAACTAATCACATCGACTAGACAAGTGGACAAGCACAAAACGTTGGGTTGTGGAGCATAGACAAGTGGACAATAACTCAAAATTGGGTCAGCGGTATTAACGTGGGAAAGATAAAAGAAAAGAGTGGTTCAGCACTTGTCTAGTCTGAATGTTCAGCTAGCTATGCAATATATATATGCAAGGTCTTACCACTCCCTCCTGCAGTACTGTTGCTTTGTTCCACTGTTGTGTGTGTGGCATTCTTGTACTGCATTTCTACCAGCTGTGGGTAAGCTCAAGACATATAGCTGAATTTACTTCCTTTGTTTCCTTAAGATAATCTGTAAATGCTCGTTTTGATTGCAGGCACGGTGTTTCATCAGGATCAGTCGTGTCTATTTCTGTCTGCCCTGTGATCGCTTGAGACGAGGTCTGCTAGGAAGGAAAATCTGCTTCATCTGAATAAACACATATATACTGATATCTCCTTGTAGCAGACACTCTCCCGTCGGTGGATGTCAACACATTCACCTGTATTTTTGGTATTATCCCATTGATCCTTCTAGTTAACCTTCTGAATCATTCAAGTTTTACATCGGTATAATGAGCATACACTTCACCTCTTATTTTCATCTCCCCTTTTTGCAGTTGTAGCAGCACAATCAGTGGTTCTCTCTTGATGACTGGCTCATAATGTTCTGAAATCCTTTCTACAGTTGGCGTATCCACTGAGTTTCTTTTGATCTTCACTAATCTGAGTCTGTCGAGTATCTAAAGTAGATGGGTCAGAGCAAACTTCTAGCTTGTGCAAGATGAATGCTACTATACTATTGATCCTTGTTATGTGACTTATGTCTTTTCATGCTGAATTATCACTCCATAAGGTAAGATTTGCATGCAATATACTTGAGTAAAACCCCTCAACTTGTTTCCGGTTACTTCTTTCTCCTCATTTACCTTTAACCCAAGAAGCTTACCCGAAATGTAACCCCATTATTCCAGTTCTTTAGCTTCAGTATGCTAACTTGCTCAAAACTCATGGCAAAACAACTTATTAAAAACCTTACCGAAATGTAACCCCATTATTCTAGATACTCTGAAACTGATTGAACTTTTGTCCATTTTCAGATCGTGTAATTCTCATAAGTAATTTACTTAGAAATTTTGGTGCATCACCATCAACGAGTTTCTCTATGGCAACCATATTGGGTTCTTTGATTGGATCATGCGTAAACAAGTTGCAAGGCATCATTACAGAGGAGGCAATACTAATTTTAGGTGTAGAAGAAGAACTCAAAAAACTGCAGAAAAGAATGAAACAAATACAGTGCTTTCTCAGTGATGCTGAGCGAAGGGGAATGGAAGACTCAGCAGTACACAATTGGGTTTCTTGGCTAAAAGATGCTATGTATGATGCTGATGACATTATCGATTTGGCTAGTTTTGAAGGAAGCAAGCTATTAAATGGCCATTCTTCTTCACCAAGAAAAACAACTGCATGCGGTGGGCTTTCACCTCTCTCTTGCTTTTCCAATATTCAGGTTCGCCATGAGATTGGTGATAAAATTAGAAGTCTGAACCGGAAATTAGCGGAAATAGAAAAGGATAAAATATTTGCAACACTTAAGAATGCACAACCAGCTGATAAAGGTTCAACATCAGAACTGAGAAAAACATCTCACATTGTTGAACCCAACCTTGTGGGGAAAGAGATATTAAAAGTTTCTAGAAATTTGGTGTGCCACGTGCTTGCACACAAGGAAAAGAAGGCTTACAAGCTTGCTATTGTTGGAACAGGGGGAATCGGAAAGACAACACTTGCTCAGAAATTATTCAATGATCAGAAATTAAAAGGAAGCTTCAACAAACATGCTTGGATTTGTGTTTCTCAGGACTACTCCCCGTCCTCTGTTTTGAGACAACTACTTAGAACCATGGAGGTTCAGCACAGACAGGAAGAATCAGTTGGCGAGCTCCAAAGCAAGCTTGAATTGGCTATTAAAGATAAGAGTTATTTTCTTGTGTTGGACGATGTATGGCAGCATGATGTATGGACCAATCTACTACGAACTCCACTGCATGCTGCAACCTCAGGAATAATTTTGATAACTACTCGGCAAGATATTGTCGCTAGGGAAATTGGGGTTGAGAAACAGCATCGTGTTGACCAAATGTCACCAGCTGATGGTTGGGAGCTACTCTGGAAGAGCATTAGCATTCAGGATGAAAAAGAAGTGCAAAATCTGCGAGACATAGGGATCAAGATTATTCAGAAATGTGGTGGTCTACCTCTTGCAATCAAGGTTATTGCTAGAGTTTTGGCAAGCAAAGATAAAACAGAGAACGAATGGAAAAGGATTTTAGATAAAAATGTTTGGTCCATGGCTAAACTTCCTAAAGAAATAAGAGGTGCTCTATATCTAAGCTATGATGATTTACCACAACATTTAAAGCAATGTTTTCTTTATTGTATTGTATTTCCTGAAGACTGGACCATTCATCGTGATTACCTTATTAGGATGTGGGTTGCCGAAGGCTTTGTAGAAGTGCACAAAGATCAATTACTTGAAGATACAGCAGAAGAATACTACTATGAGCTAATAAGTAGGAATCTCCTCCAACCAGTTAACACATCTTTTGATAAGAGCCAATGCAAAATGCATGATCTCTTAAGGCAACTTGCTTGTTATATATCAAGAGAAGAATGCTATATTGGAGATCCAACATCATGTGTGGATAATAACATGTGTAAACTGCGACGCATTTTAGTTATCACCGAGAAAGATATGGTTGTCATACCTAGCATGGGTAAGGAGGAGATTAAGTTGAGAACTTTTAGAACCCAACAACATCCAGTTGGAATTGAGAACACAATTTTTATGAGATTTATGTATCTTCGTGTTTTGGATTTATCTGACTTACTTGTGGAAAAAATACCAGATTGTATTGGACATTTAATTCATCTACATTTACTTGATCTTGATAGAACCTGCATATCTTGTCTTCCAGAGTCTATTGGTGCTCTAAAAAATCTCCAAATGTTACACTTGCATAGGTGTAAATCTTTGCACAGTTTGCCTACTGCAATCACTCAGTTATATAATTTAAGACGGCTTGATATAGTTGAGACACCAATAAATCAGGTCCCAAAAGGGATAGGAAGACTAAAATTTCTCAATGATTTAGAAGGATTCCCTGTCAGTGGTGGAAGTGACAATGCTAAAATGCAAGATGGATGGAATTTGGAAGAGTTGGCTGATCTTTCAAAGTTGAGACGGCTTATTATGATAAACTTGGAAAGAGGTACTCCTCACAGTGGTGTAGACCCATTTCTGCTAACAGAGAAAAAGTATCTCAAAGTTCTGAATCTATGGTGCACTGAACAGACAGATGAAGCATATTCAGAGGAAAATGCTAGCAACGTTGAGAACATCTTCGAGATGCTAACACCTCCACACAACTTACGAGATCTTGTTATTGGGTATTTCTTTGGTTGTAGATTCCCCACCTGGCTTGGTACTACCCATTTGCCTTCAGTGAAATCCATGATCCTCGCAAATTGCAAATCCTGTGTGCACCTTCCACCAATCGGACAGCTACCAAACTTGAACTACTTGAAAATTATTGGAGCAAGTGCAATCACCAAGATTGGACCCGAATTCGTTGGCTGCAGGGAAGGTAATCTCATATCCACAGAGGCAGTTGCTTTCCCCAAGCTCGAAATGTTGATCATCAAGGATATGCCCAACTGGGAGGAGTGGTCCTTTGTTGAACAAGAAGAAGAAGAGGTGCAGGAGGAGGAAGCAGTTGCAGCAGCCAAGGAAGGGGGAGAGGATGGAACTGTTGCTTCGAAGCAAAAGGGGAAAGTAGCCCTGTCTCCAAGGTCATCGTGGCTGATGCCTTGTTTGAGGAGGTTGGATCTTTGGGACTGCCCCAAGCTGAGGGCTCTCCCACCACAGCTTGGACAGACCAACTTGAAGGAGCTCCTTATAAGATACACAAGTTGATTGAAGACGGTGGAGGACCTCCCGTTCCTCTCTGGTTTACTTTTAGTTGAAAGATGTGAAGACCTAGAGAGGATCTCCAACCTTCCCCAAGTGAGAGAGTTGTTTTTAAATTGTTGCCCGAATTTGAGGCATGTTGAGGAGTTGGGCGGTTTGGAGCAGCTATGGCTGGATGAAGGTATGCACGAGATCTCTCAGCAGTGGGTCCCTGGGCTTCAGGAGCTACACTGCAAGCTCCATGGAGATGAGCATGAGCTGGTGGTCAACGAGTAGCTCTAAGACCCAATTAATTTAGATGGTGCAAGGTATGTACACTAATTGCTTGGGATTTTTCACTGGAATATACTAATCTTTGGGTTGTACATTCATGCTGCTCCTCTGCTCTTCAGCTGTATGCATCTATTCTAGCATTTGATAGTCTCCTTAGTTGTTCATGTTGTGTGCATTGACTGATTGTTTAATCACTTATATGATTTAGTATTTATTTCATTACTGCTGCACGTAACCATTTCACCGTGGTCAAGATTTTCATAAAATGGTGGATATACATCGACAAATTTGTTAGTTGTCCATATCTTTTATCCTCTCATGATCTTATTAACATGCATCCTGCACATACGGTGTATTCTAGATAAATGTATTGTCCTATATGTACTACAACATAATCATGTGCAGTAGTGTTCCTAGCTCTGCAGACATAGATAGAGATTACTGCTACTCCAAAAGAAAATTGTATGGGTTATATCACCAAACAATGCTATGATGGCATTGCTATATTCACTATATGCCAGTAGTAATATCACATATGCATATATCCATTCAAGGATTTGGGGACAACATAAAGGCAAAATTTGCCACTGGACACGCAAAAAAACGTGTAATTGGCTGAGAGACACCGCGAAAACGTGACATGGCTGATGGACACTACAAAAAATGTGTAATTGGCTGTAGGACACTCGTCGCATTATTTTATTATTTCCGGGTCAAAACAGGTGAGATATTTTTCTAAATGCCCGGATTGCCCCTTCTCTTTCCTTCTTTAAACACCGGTGGGTCCCATGTGTCATGGACAGTGTATGTTTAATCTAATTTATAATAGGTTTTTAACCACCTGGCCCCACGCGTCATGGACTAATTTTTGTAACACCCTGAAAATTTGACCAACAAAAATCAAAGTTCCAAAAATATGGACCTTCAAAAACTTTTTAAATAAATTGCATCATGCTGATTTTGTTCACCTATTTCATCGGATTTTAATTTCGGAGTTCATAGATCACGAATAAAGAATAGTTAATTAGGAATAAACCCTAAAATTAGATTGGCAAGAGAAATAATTAAGATATAATTTAAAATAAAGATTATGTGAGGATAGAAATAAATAAAACATTATCACGACCATATTTATATCAATTAAATTTAAATGTGATGGAATAAGAATTAACTCTAATTAAATTCCAATAAATTATATATAAAAATAAAATATGGGTAATGATAATCTAGGTTAGAGCAACACAAATATTGTGTAAACTTGATTTGTGCAAAAATTATAAATATTGGGACAAGATTTGAATAGGAAAAACAACCAAATAGGAAAAACAGAAAAAAATTCACTATTCATTGCGCTGTAAGTGTTCGATCGCGTTCCCTAGCCCTAACCCCTCCTCTGCCGCACGCGCCTGGCCGCCATCACGTCGCCGCTGTCGCCCGTCGCGTCGTCGCCTTGCGCCCCGTGCCGCCGCGCGCCGTCGCCGTCGCTGCCGCGCCGCCTTGCGCCCCGTGCCGCCGCGTGCGCCGTCGCCGTCGCCGTTCCGTCGCCGCGCGTGCGTCTCATCGCCTCGCGCCTCGCGCCGCCGTCGCCGCTGTCGCCCGTCCCGTCGCCGCGCCGTCGTCCTGTCGCCGTCGCGTCGCCGCCTCGTGCCCCGCGCCCGCGCGCCGCCCGCCCGTCGCGTCGCCGCCTCGCGCCCCGCGCTGCTGCCGCGCCGCATCGTCGTCGCATCGCCGTCGTCGTCGCACCGAGCCCCGTGTCACGCCGCGCTGCCCGCCCGTCGCCATCGCCGCCTGCCGCGCCGCGCGCCGCCTGTCACGTCGCCATAAGGCTGCCCGCCCCGCTCCACGCCCTATAAAGCCCGACCCCTCCTCTTCTCCACCCCACACACATCCCCTTCATCTTTCCTCCTCTCCCTCTCCCCCTTCCCCACGCGCCGCCGTCGTCGTGCCGCCGCGCCGCCGCCTTCGAGCCGCCGCGCTGCGCCGCGACTTGCGCCGCCGTCGCCATCGTCGCCGCCGCTGCCCCCCCACCTCGCGTCCACCGCCGCCGCCGCCCGGGTGGGCAAGGAGCCGAGAGAGAGAGAGGGAGAAAGGAGCCGGGAGGGAGAGAAGAGAGTAAAAAAAAAGAAAGAAAAGAAAAGAGAAAAGAAAGAAAAGGAAAAAGGGAAAAGAAAAAGAAAGAAAAAGAAAGAAAGAGGAAGAAAATAAATAGGCATTTGAGTAAAATTTAGAGGTTTAGAAAATTTAAAATAATTAGAATTTAATCGTGGATTAATTATAGTCGTAAAATTGCGAAATTTAATTATATTTTGGTAGCCTCTATGAGTAATCAATTTGCGGTAGGAATTTAGATTTATTTAAGAACTAAAATAAAGGTGTTGAATTCTTAGGAAAATTACTTAGGAGACACAAAATGTCTTAGGTTGAGGAATAGTTCTATTTCGCGAATAATATAGTGGATATAACAATCGACTCTCGTGCTCGCTTTTTGATTTGGTCTTTATTGGATTTTATTTGAATTCGGAATTCAAATCAATTCTTCGCACGTACTTGTAGAGCCCGAGGGAGTTGCGGATCCGAGCGAAGGTCAAGACCCGCAAGACTTTGAGCAAGGCAAGTCATCACTATTCTTTGAGCATATTGATCCCGATTGCAAAATTTATTTTGTTTACAAATAAGATTGGATGTGATGATGAACATTCCACTTGTGAACTATGCCATGCCTTGATTATTGTTCATCTTTAAATCTTTGTAACCATAAATACGTATGAGTCCCTAGTCAACTATGACACTTGCTTAGAAATGCTACTCTAGATTTATGCATGCTCATACTTTATTAAATGCTATATGCTTGGGCAATTACCTTTGGGAAGTTAATTGAGATGCGGCATGTGGAGACATGAGCGCCACATTGCCATGATATGATGACATGAATTATGAAAATAGGAATGAAATTAAACACTTGTTTTAGACTGGGGCGGACGGTAATATTGGGTGATATCTGGGAAAGGCTAGTACCGTCCCCGGTCAATTAAGGACCGAGCCATGAAGTTAAGCATGAAACGACCCTGTACAACCACACTTCTCGTATGGGGATAGACCTAGCGGAGTAAATAGCTGAGCGGAGGCAGTATCCTTGCATAGTGGTTTCTTGATGTTTGAGGATGGGGCTCTACAGTGGTACCGCCATTGGTAGGACTGCCATATGATAATTTAGACATAATTATAACTTAATGCATGTGCGTGAGTCTTCCCTTCCCGGGTGCGCCAGAACTCCTCTCGCTGCTAGAAACTGTGTACGCCTAGAGTGCATGAGGATGAAAAGTTCATAGAGCGGATACTGCCGATGCCAGGTTATCGAAAAGCTTTGCCGTGACACGTCTCATGTGTTGGGACGAGGCTCATGTGTTGGGCAGTCGCGGAGTGCGGGTAAAGTGTACATCCACTGTAGTGTGAGTAAAACAAATCTATTCGAATAGCCGTGCTCGCAGTTATTGAGCACCGGGACATGTATTACACTTAGCTAGACTCTAAATTCTTAACTTGTGTGGAATGGGATATTGCATGATGATTTTTATGCTGTTGGAGCCACTTCCTGAGAGGAGGGAAGGTGGACATCCTCAGAAAACCATGACAACTCAATGGCGGGAAGCTATCCTTGGGATCACAATGGATGGTGGACAGCACCATCGTTGTTTAAATATGAACACTGGTACTAAAATTTGCTCAGTCAATGCTAGGTCTTAGGCTTGTGAAAAGAATTACAAAACTTGCTTTGCGCAAAAGAACCATAGCCATCCTTTGAAATACCCCTATCATGTGCATTGTTGATGTGATGGCTTGCTGAGTACGGTTGGTACTCACCCTTGCAAATATAAACTTAATCAGAGGCCGGAGATGAAGCTTCGGAGGATCCCTGTGCCTATTACCAGGAGGGTGATGAAGACGATGGTGCTCAATAGGTCTTAGTTACGGTCGTTGCCTGTGGCAATGGCGTGCCGCTGCCTTAACTCTGCTGCCTTATCTACCTCTGTTTTTGGGATGTACTCCGGACCGCTCGGTTCGATGATTTAAGACTATGCCTGCGGGCTTATGATGTAATAATTTGCACTAGACTCTCGTGTATGTGCATATGGTATTTCAGCTATAAACTCGTGTGTACCAGACTACTTGATCCAGGGAAATGGTACTGTTTACACGATTGATTCCTGTTATAAAAACGGGGGTCCACAATTTTTTTCTAATTAGTAGGGTGATTGCTATTTGCTAATCATAAGTGGGGCCCATATCTCTCTCCTATCCTTCTTCTTCTTCCTCACGCACGCGCCAGAGTAGAGGAACGGCGCGCGGCCGGCGCGACGACCTGAGCCAGGACGGCTCGGCGTGCAGCAGAAAAAGCGGCGGCGCTCCGCCATGGTCTCACCGCCGGAGCTCGTCCCTTACTTGACCAGAGACGGGACAAAGACGGGACGGAGAAGCGCGGGTGGGTCAGGATGGCCGTCGATGCCTTGGCTGCCGTCTTGTCCGCGGATGGGGTAAACGAAGATACCAAGGAAGGTCTCATCGATGCCCTCATAGCCGGCGATCTGGGCCCCATCATGAACACGCTCATCGCAGCTGTTCCCAGATCTGGTATGGGTCCTCAAGGACGCCGGCAATCTGCTGCATGGCGGCAACCGTGCAGGTGCGAGGCTGCCCAGCTCGCTCGTAGATGGTCCGGCCAGGCGCCATCCCGACGCTCGCGCGAGTTCACCGTGGGAGACGACTAGAGGATGAGAGAGGCAGTGGCATCCGCGCCGGAGGCCGTGGGAAAGTTGCTCGTGTGATGCAAGGACGACGACACTGTACATGGGCCCACATGTCGGCTGCATCGAGAAGAGAGGGGCATTCCTGTCATTTTGAAAATTTTCTTCCCTCTTTCGGCATGGAAATTATAAAATAATGTCTTCGGTGTCCTACAACCAATTACACAACTTTTGTAGTGTCCATCGGCAATGCCAAGTTTTACAGTGTCCCTTAGCCAATTACTCGATTTTTGAGTGTCCTGTAGCAAATTTTGCCCAACATAAATGGTTTAGCATTTGGTATACAGGCTACATAAGTGCACGACCAAACATAATGGACTTCGTTAGACCAAGAGATAAGTACTCCTTAATTCAGCTCTTGAATGTGCTAGCTATGATTGGCTGTGTACATCCTTCGGGATGCAGAGGCCGGGTTTT